TATGAGTCAGATTGTTGAGGATGAGACAAGTAGAATACGCTGCACTTATGAGAAGGCTCTAAAGGATCAGGACTTCGCGGACAACTTTTGTCTAATATCATGCAAACTCGAAGAATTACAGACAGGTGAAAACCAAGAAACTGGCTGAAGAAGCAGTCAAAAGGACTTCAAATGATCATAGCGAATATAGAGGAGATGAAGGCAACCAACCAAAAGCAAGAAGCGCCAATCACTATCAACGGGAGGAATATGAAAGGAGTCACATCCTTCACTTATCTAGAAAGCATCTTTTCAGCTACAGATAACACACATAAAGACGTCAAAAGCAGAAGCACAAAGGTAACTCATACCTTCATCAATTTGAAATCAGTTTGAAAAATCGACTGCACTTGATATAAAGAACAAAATTCATATTTTTAACTTCAATATTAAATCAGCCAGTTCTTCTGTATTAGTCAAAAACTTAGCGCATCATGAAAACCATTTCCAACAGGTCACTGCAGACTTTTGTCAACAGCTGTCCACTTCACTGGCTCCATACTGAAGATCAAATGGCCGTCTAGAAATAATCAGCAACAAGAAACTATGGGAACGAACTAATCAATAATTGGTTGCTCAGCAAATATGATGAAGAAAATGCAGATGGATCGGGCCTGTGTTGAAGAAACCGCCGATTGACATTGATCGCAATGCAGACCATCGCTCGATCAGCGACGAGTGGGGCGTTGCTGTGAGAGTGACATGGAGGATATTGTGTGAGGAAGAGATGAGAGAGTTTGGTCAATCGTGCGGCCAGATGAATCGGACAGCAGAGGGTAGAACAAAGTGGGGATGTATTGTTGAAGTCCTATTTTCCACTCAGAATGCAAGGAAACAACAAGACAGCAGCGAAATTGTATCTACCAGTTTGAATTCAACTACGAATCCAGCTACGTTGTGCATTCAACTGGACAGGTACATCACCGCATATCTGAACCTCATCTTGACTCGTTAACCAAGGGGCATTTAAATCTATTTGTAGCTGTGTTTTAGCACCCGTTATAGATAGTCAGCATAAAGTGGATGTTAATACAGTATTTAAAGTTATTCAACGCATTCTGATTAATCTGAATTTGGCTTGACGAATTTATCTTCTACATATGGAGGAAACCATCGGAATCCACGCGGGAGAAGCCAAACCGGTGTGTTCAGAATAAATTTGTACAGCTACTTTCCTTACCTTGGCCATCGTGACATAAATGTAGAACTAAGCCTTTTACAATTTATCATTGCCCAAATTACTTTATTTTCCGTCGAATGCCTATTACTTAATCAGCTTGAACACTTTTTTTTACTCCTTTACGTTCCCAGTGTAACGTAGGGCTTCGGGCAAGAGGCTCTTAGTTTCGGTAGCAGCGGTAATTATTTTTACGGGATTAGGTTGCTAGCTTCATGCCCAACCTTCCCTATTTACTAGTCTTACCACTGGCTTAGAGAGTTAAAGGAGTGCGTCAGTGGCCGGTTATCGAACCCCAAACCACCTGCGTGGTTGGCGATCATTCTACCACTGTGCCACTGACGCACTACTTGCTCATCCCTTAATTACTCTTCATTTTTAATGAAATTATGCATTATGCAACTCACTTTTTGTAACCATTTCTACCTTTTAATTGTGTGAACTAATTTTCTTCGCTTAATTATCACCCCACTGACATGTTGGCGCTCAGTAATTGTTGTTAACAAACATACGGTCACTTCATTGGTGAATAGTTGTGTATAGTATTAAAAATGCTGTACATATTAGGGTAGAGCAAGAGATGAGTATCTAATTGAAAAGTAAATATTTTCGTTACCGACGAAATCATCTTCAGTGGCTGGCTGTACAGCAGTATTTATATTTACCATAAATGTATAGTAGTCTATTATTGAGTAATAGCGGGTGACATAATTGATATAATTACTCAAAAGTGGCTCTAGAAGTAAAAAATAAAAGTCGCTAATTACGTAGTACTCAATGAAACCAAGGAAGAATTGGTTAGAAATATGATAAGTTAAAAATTGTTACTGATTGAGAATGAAAGTGGTTGAGTATCAGTTTAACAAGTGTGTGTACAAAAGGAACACATGAGAGTGGTAATAGTGAATTAATTAATAAACTCAAAGCAAAGAAATCATTAAAAAATGAAAAGATGCTTCCTAGATAAGTGAAGGAAGTGACTCTTATCAGATTTCCCCCCCTTGATAGTGGTTGGCGCCTGTTGCTTTTGGTTGATTGCCTTCATCTCCCCGTCTTCTCTATGTTTACCCTGAGTCCTGTCTTCGCTGCTTGCCTGCTTCCTCAACCGATTTCTTGGTTTTTGTTTGTATGTCTTCGGGTTTGCACAGCGGTTAGGACTCTCGCGACCACGCACATGGTCGGCCTGCACAATTTTGGTTATCGATATCACGTGCCGAAAATTCCATACTTACACCAAAATACTGTGTGGAATCTAGCTATAATCAAGCTATAATAATTGTCCGCGAAGTCCTGGTCCTTTAGAGCCTTCATATAAGTGCAGCGTATTCTACTTGTCTCATGTCAACAATCTGACTCATAATCCAGTCCGCCGAAATTAGAAATATCATCCGTGGTGGTAATAGACAGCCAGCTTGTCTTGCTTGTGATTTTACTTCAAAAGCTTCACTTAGTTTTCCGTTGAGGATCATTGTGATTGCCATCTGTTGAATGAGGCTGATAAAGATATGGGCAGTGCACGCTGTTGTGTTGAAGCAGTTTCCAAATTACATCTCGGTCAACACTGTCTACCGAAGACCTCTTCGACGTCGATGAAGGAAGTTGAGGTAGGGAGAATTTTGACTGCCACCTTACTCTTTGTTTAATGCTTACAGCTAAAATTCGATCGGCACATAATTTGGCTTTACTGAATTCAGCTTGTTCCGGGAGGATTTCTGCATCCAATGCGTCCTTTATTCTCTTTAGAAGGACGCGACTTAGTATTGCATGCCAGTTCTTGCAGAGACCTAAGATGCAGTTTTTTGGTTGTCTGACAAGGCAGCCTATCTTTCGATCGGGAGGCACCTTTCCTTTCTTTCAAAAATTTTACAATAATGGCGTGAGCATGTCTATTACAGTCTCTGGGTCCGTTCCAATTGCTTCAGGAAGGACCTTATTCTGGTCCTGCAGCCTTCTTGGACTTCCGAAGCTTCATTTGATTCAGAAATTATGCTCTTGTCGGAGGATTGATGTCCACTGGCAGTTGTGTGCTTGCTGTTTGTGGTAGTGGTATTTCTGGACGAGTTGCAGGTGGTGGGCAATTCAAGAGTCCTTTGAAGTGGCCAGTTCATTGTTAGATTTGTCTCTTATCTTTGGTTATTAGTTCCTCTTGAACATTATTTGCAGGTTTCATGTGTGTTCATCCTTCTCTGGATAGAGACCCGGTTATCTGATATAACCTTCTGAAGTGTCATTTACATGTGATGTTCCTGTTCCACTTTAGTTGCCTGCCAGTGTACTGTAGAATTGTCTTCGGTGTTTCTCCGCACTTTCCCTCACTTCCCTATTCACTGTGATGTACACAATAAAGCAATAATATGAATGTGGTATAAACTTGGTGTTTTGCTCAAGGGCGGAAATACGGGAAGAGAAAATTGAGAGGAAAGCATAATACACCTGATAGTGAGAAACAGTTTGGCCGGAAGAAATAAACATCCGATAAATCCAAATATAGTTCCGGTGAATGTCTGAAATGAAATCCACCACAGTTTATGCTATTCACTGATTGATGTGAGCAATGTATAACACTCATTTCAAACCGTTGTTGTTGCTAGCCAGATAAAAGTAATATGAATACCAATCAGCCATTTCCCTCATTTGCGATCGCGGTCATCATCGGTATATCCTGTTTGACTTAGCTCACAGAGTTGAATCATTTCAAAACACCTGAAGTATGACTATCTTTGATGGCGAAATAGTTTTTATATACAATCGAGTTTGTCATTTACAGTTTACACAGTCCAAGGAGGTGCCATTTGGAGGCGAAAATAATTCAGGTCGCAGTGTGTGTGATCTACTAGACAAAATTATATTCTTCCCTTCTTAATTATTTCCCTTTTATTTTATTCTTTCAGGTTCCAAGTGAAATATAAGGATATTACCTTGAGCGCCAAAGTTTCAGTAACTGCGGTGTTTATTTTTTACAGGGCGGGGTCGCTCGACTTGCACCTAACTTCCTGTCTTTACTGCACCGGCCGAAGATCGAATCCCAAACCACATTTATGGTGTGACTGGCGAGTGTCCTTCCAGTGAAACACACTTGTGACTAAAGTATTCAGAAAAATTTTAAGGCAATTTAAGTCATACTCGTCGATTTTGCCTTTTTTGCATTCGTGTGTGCATCAACCATACACCATACTACCTTGAAAAAAGAAAAGATTTGCTACCTGCTAACGCATCACTACTGATTTCTACAATCTAACATTGGTCTTTTGACTAATTCATACTACTAAGTCTGTCAGTATGATTCTTTGATGATTAAAGTGTGTGCTGCTTTTCTCATGTGACTGTGACATGCATAAATGTTTGTAGTTGGAACAGAATTTTAGCTTGCTCCTAATCGCAACAGCATCGCCGTCATCACCTATACCGCCATTTATACACACTGAATTATTGTGAAGTAGACATCACACATATACATAGAGATACATACTTGAATCCTAAAAATACTTATTTCAGTCGCCTCTAGGTGATTTGTCATCAAAGAAAGCATTATAGTCAAAACTCAATGCAGATCATACTTTGTGGCAAGTATATTGTGATGACAATAACAAAAGTTATTTATGACGCATGCCTACCTACAATCGATGGTTTCACACTAATAGTATAACCACCGACAAAATCATGTGCAATCCAAAGCGTAGTGAATCAATTAATTGAACGTAAAATGAAACAGAATATATAGACCAATGGGAGTGTAGTTTAATGCAGTATATATAATGCACGTTAAGAGGAATAGTATATACTAAGCAGGATAGTTTGAGAGTTGAATTTATTTGTTCCATCATCTTCTTCACTTGGATATGCCAGCTTTACTTCCTAACAAACCAGCACCAGTATTCAAAGGGAAAGCTCTCGTTGATGGTGTCTTCAAGGATATCAGTTTAGACGATTATTGGGGAAAATATGTTGTGTTATTTTTCTATCCAGCTGACTTGTAAGTTATTACTGACAGGGTGATTTTTTGTTCATTTATTTGTGATTGTATATGTGAAATATATGTGAAATATCAGTATATTTTATGCACTGTGAAACATGAGTAGATGAAATCAACAGACGACTGGTTCTCTGACTGAGGAGTTTATAACTGAGATGAACCTGAGTCAAGAATACAACTTTATTCATTCAAGCAGTGACGATCTGATTTCACTAAAGTAGCTGTAATGATGTTAAGTCAGTGGTGCATTTCAAATAGTCTCAAGTTAAGTCCCTCCAAATGTCAGGTCGTTAATTCCACTTTTACACACAAGTGGGACTCCCATAAGCTGGTGCCTTCCCATGATTCTTGCATAGTAGATGGCGCTGAAGTTGGAACTAAGTCATGTATAGTTGAATACCTTGGGTTAAGTCTTTTTGCCAATCTCTCCTCTTCTTCTCATGGCATATTAGTTTCTAGAATGCTATTTTGTATAACCTACCGTATATGGAAGTTAGAGACTATCTGGTATCACCCAGTCTGTAGTTTCTGCAGTTTGCTAATTCTTGTAATCTACCTGTTTTTCTTTAATACTCCGCTACCCTTAATCTTTTCTGGTTTACTCTGTTACACTAAAAGTTGTAAGCAGAGCAAGTGAGGTACCGCTAGACCGACTTGTGAGCACTTTGTAGACTACACTTGAACTTCCGAGAAAAATAACGAATATTTTCTTGTCGGTGTTTGAACATCCTCTCCATACACAACTATCTGCTTGTATTTCATCAGGTGGAATTATAATCAACTACAGAAGAATATATGCTCGGATAATTAAGTTTAGAACTCTAAGATATCTTATTTGGCAGGGGAGCATTTTGTGTTTTGAGGAAAGTGTAGGGCGCCACACCATTGATTTGCTGAGGAATACTGCGTAAACGGCTCCCGTTTATTCTTCCTTTGGTTAGTGTATTGGCGTTAATATTTCTATTGAAGTTTTGATTTTATGTTTATATGCTTATCGAACAATATTATTGATGTGAATGACCCATTTTAATGATTTCCCCTGTACTGAGTAATGTAAAGAGAGAACTAGCTGCAATAATATACTGCATGCTGAATATTCCACGCTTTTTCAGAATAGGTGTATGTGATGCAGGGTCAATACACAAAACTGAGTTAATTAACTCCTCTCTTCACTTAACTATATTGATTTTAGAAATTTGTGTGTTTGTGTGCTGTTTGATTACATGCAAGTGGGAATAACTCAACCCCTCCCAATCTTACAGTTTGTCAGCTCTTGCCTCTGACGTATTCTTCTTTATTGTTCACCCTAATTCTTTCCTGGGTAACTTAAAAAAGAACTATGTCGTACTTCGTAGAACTCTGAAGACTGTCAGTAAGGCAAGTGCGTCGGTGGCACAGTGGTTAGAACTCTCGCCGACCATGCACATGGTCCGGGGTTCGATCCCCTGCCGGCGCACACCCGATATCTATGGTATGCCTGAATTTGGGCAACCGATATCCATGCTGAAAATTCCACACTTGTACTGAAAATACGGTGTGGAATCAAGCTGTAAATCAAAAATAAAATAAAATAAGTGATATCCCATAACGTCATTGATAGGCACTTGATCTCATGCAACACATTTGCTAAATGAATTTTGTCAGAGTGTGACTATCCTCTTTACCCGCAGCTTTTATCCTGCACCTCTTCAGGTAAAACAAGAAGTCTTCTCAGAAGACTTTATGCACGTACATCTAAGGATAGCAATTCCATGATACCATATTTGGCATGTATTTTATTGGGTGAAAATAGTGTCAGGCACAAAATAACTAACTAACTAACCTTCTTTGTACTAGTATATAAGCAATTTTCTCCACACTTATAACATCAAGCTTTACTGTTACTGTTATTCTTATATTTAACATCATCTCACTTTTTCTGTTTATATTCTCATAAGCGTAAGCATCATTTAAGCTCTTTACTAACTGTTATTACTTTGTTTCTCCCCTTACTATGCTGTATCATATCAAAATTCTCATACTAGATTGACAGTCGTGTTTGAAACAAACCTACTGTTATTATTATCATTATCATCACTATTATTATAGTTATTATTCTGACTTAGTGCTTTCATACTTTTGACTTTATTCCTACTGTAAATGTGGACAAATTCATGTGGTTAATTTTACTAATATAGTTTGAGTACATTAGATGCAATATTGTGACAAATTCTGAAAATTCCATGCTGTATTACAAGTCTTGATTTTGTAATATGGCAGATCACACTTATTGTTATTATTACTATTATTTTTAAAAAGATCGTGAATTAGAATGATCGAGCTTTTCTCAAGATTATTCACTTTACTTAGCGTTGTGTTCACCTTTTTTTCTTTTCCTTCTTCTTCGTTTATTCCTTTACGTTCCCAGTGCATCATAAGGCTTCAAGCTCGAGGCTTGACGTTTCGTTAGCTATGGTGTATATTTTTACGGGATGAGGTTGCTAGCCACATGCCCAACCTTCCTTCCCCCCTTTACCATTCTTATAACTGGCTTAGCGAGGTAAAGAAAGTGAGTCGGCTCGGGGATCAAACCTCGAACCATATGAGGCTTGGTTGGTGAGGAGCATTCTACCGCTGTTCCACTAACTCTTCTAGACATAGAAGAAACAGAAAGAAGTTGAGCAAAGAATATCCTTTTCGATAAATTCCTCTTCTGACTCTACAATTATATATATGTGTTTATATACATAGAATATTCTAGAATAATCGACATTAACAATGTCCATGTTTTTTTAATACTATCGACTTGTTAATTGATATCAATGGAATTACAGTTCAAGACAGATGCATAAATTATACTCGGCAGAAAAGAAATCTCCACAACAAATTGAGGATCATTAGACCATTGATGGCCAAGGTAAGCACAGCGTCTGAACCAACTTCCTCTTTTGGATACATAAGTCAGGTTTCTTAATATGGATCCCAACAACCAGACTCAGAAATATGTAGTAGATGAACTCTTAAAGTAAAGTTAAGATCAGTTGGTATGCGGCAAATAACTTTGAAAGCCACCTTGTTTACATCAATCTTGTGTTCTGTATCCATGAGATGAGATGAGATGAGATAGAATAGCTCTATGATCCTCGATTTGTTCTGTAAATTTCCTTAATTTTATTTGACATTCTATTTACTATTAGATTTTTATGCTTATTATAATTTATGCATCTGTCTTGAACTGTAATTCCATTGATATTACTTAACAAGTCGATAGCTTTAAAAAAACATAGACACTGTTAATGTCGACTATTCTAGAATATTCTAGTTAAAGAATCATATATATTCGTTATCTGCGATAAAAATGTAATTCTTGATGATGTCCTGTTTACTTTCAACAACTGCCATCCTTCGTTACAATTCACCGTAGAAAAGGAGTCTGAACTAAGTATCCCCTTTCTTGATGTGTGCCTTAGTAGACGTGATGACGGATCTCTCAAAAGATCTATCCACCAGAAACGTACATGGAACGGACAACTAACTAATTTTTACAGTTGGGTGCCTATCTCCAGGAAAAGGAATTTAATTCATTCGCTTTGCTATAGGATAAGGAAAATTTGTGGTTCTGATTCCGTTGACTCGGAACTTGATTTCTTAAAAGCCACACTGGCAGAAAACGGTTACCCTAGCCGATTTATTGACAGTAACATGAAAGATAAGCAGTCTGAACTGGTTACCGACACAGTTCCAAAGAAAACCTTATTCATGAACTTGGAATTCAAAGGTGATCAAGATTCAGATATTCTCAAAAATCGTCTCTCCAAATCAGTCCGTAAGACGTTCTATGCAGCAAAATTACATTTGACGTTCACTAGCCGCAAGTTGTTCTCTACCTCTGTAAAAGATAAGCTTCCCTGTCTGGCCGCCTCCATGTGCATTTATCAGTTCACCTGCTCCTGTGGAGCAAGGTACATTGGCCGTAGTCAGAGAATACGAGAACATATTCCAGCAGGATGGTTTTACAAGGGAAAAAGGAAGTGTGTGAGAAGCTCTATTTTGGAACACCTGATCGACTTCTGTCACTCTGTCAACCCTGACCATGATTTTAAGATCATCTACCGATTCCATGCTAACTTGCTGGCCGCGTTTTATTCGTTACAGACTTCTAAAGACAACTGAGGCCTTGGCAATTCATAACTTTAAGCCAGACCTTTGTGTACAAAAGAAGTATGTACAATCCCTACTTCTGCCTTGGCCGTAGAGGGATAGACATTTATTTATTTTGTTTATTTAGTTATTCTATGTACTCTTCCCTTATTAATATTATTATCATTATTATGATTACTATTCTCACTCTGAATCTTGTTCACTTGACCTACTTGACATTTTAAACCTAAAATTATTAATTTTCATATTTTTATATTTTTTACAATATTGAATTCTGTCTTATCAAATTTCATACCATGTTATGTAACATTTTATATTCGTCTACTAATCTTATATTTACATACATTATTTCGCCTATCATGAACACTTTCATACCCAGGTTAGCAATTATTTAATTGAATTTTAGACTTTCCCGTCAACTGATTGGACCGAAGTGTTCGGTCTCAGGTCAACATGTCGGCTTCTTGTGCAAATGCTTCGACGACGTCTGGGCATGTAATTAGAGGTCAGTTGATGGATGGTGACTAGCAGTGGAATCTAGAATGCGCATTCAGTCCTGGGTTTGAGTCTCGGTGGGGCAATCATCAGCCACTAGAGAATGCAGGTACATGCAGTGACGAGCCCCAGATAAGACGAAGTGCGCATCCTGGATTCCACTGCTAGTCACCATTCACCAATTATATACGGGAGCAGCGTTTGCTTATCAGTGTGAGTTGATTAGTTCAAATGCAAAGGGCCATTCAAAATCTTACATGAAGCTATGTCAGTATATCCTGACATGATAATCAGCAATGAATTGTGCTCAAAGTGTCATCCAGTTATTCATACTATATTCCCGTATGCTATTCCGAATAAATTTATATAATATCGAATTAATTAAATAACACTTTCACATTCATGTTCAAACTCCTCGTCTTCATGAAATTAGAACTATTCACAACAATTTCCTCTGAACAAACATACAAATGTCTCGATTTTCTTATCACTTTCAGCACATTCGTGTGTCCAACAGAGATCATCGCATTCAGTGATCAGGTGGAAGAATTCAAGAGTAGAAATTGTCAAGTGATCGCCTGTTCCACTGATTCTGAATTCTGTCACCTCGCATGGACAAATATGGATCGGAAATCAGGTGGATTGGGAGAGATGAAAATCCCCTTGTTGGCTGACAAGACGAAATCGATCTCGAGAGCCTACGGTGTGTTGGATGAAGAAGAGGGAAATGCATTCAGGTGAGTTTCAGTGAATAGTGATCAGGGTTAATGAATGCAGGTATTTCGATATGGATGAGATTGCTAGATTTGTTGTGCATATAAACACTCAAATATTTCAGTGCATACACCAGTGTATTCATGGTGACCATACACAGTAGCATACGGCCATTTCAACAAAGTTCTGTTGCTAAGTGTCTGTAGAGTGGTGATACATAAGTCAGGAATAACTCTGCATTGATTCTAGATGTTTGGCGAGTTCTAGTATTATGGATAATTAAGTCTGAATAGTGCACGACCATAAGTATGTTGCATTACTGTGTGCTATATCGTGAAGAATAGGCTCACACAGAAGTATCTCACTGCATTTTGGTCAAAATATTAGGCACAGCCTGTAGTCATCTAATCCCAAAATATAACACACAGATATCTGGTGAGTACTCAAACTTGTAGATTGATAAGTCATAGGCTATTTGATATGTGACAGTCGATTAGAAATCGATAACATCTATTTATATTATTCCTTTGCATTGCGAGTGGAGCATAGGGCTTCAACAACACGTCTCCACTTTGTTCTGTTTTCTTCTATCCTCTTTAGCTGGGTCAACGATTGCCTATAGTCTCTCATCTCCTCATCACACGATAACCTCCATGTCGCCCTCGCACCGACGACCCAATCGTCGATTTCCAATTGGATTTCGCTCTAGTGCATATCGCGCGATGTCATTCGACGGTCCCCCAAACGTATGCTCGATCAGTTCATCTCCATTTTCTCCTACATATTTGTTCAGCGATAGGCTCTTGATCGGTTTGTTGCAGAGTTTCTTGTTACTTATTGTTTCTGGCCATTTTATCTTCATCATGGAGCGAAGGCATCTGCTGATGAAAGTCTGCAACGGGCTGTTGGAAATACGTTTTTTTGACACGCTGGCCAAGTTTCTGACCCCTATAGAAGATCTGACAGACTCCACGTTTGTGCTGGAAAACCAAATCTTGTTCTTTACACTGGGTGATTGAAGACGATTTCCGAACTTGTTTCCGATTGAAGAAGGTGTATCTTGCATTTCTGATTCTGGCTGTCTGTCTGGCTTAGACATCTTCATCCGTTCTCACTGCCTGTGATTAACCGTGCTTCCTGGCCAGATAAGTGACGCCAGAAAGTAACCTCTGTTAAATCTTTCCCGTTGATGGTGATTGGTGCTGTTTGTTGTTGTTGCTATTGGTTGGTTATCTTCATCACATCCGTCTTCTCTATGTTCACCTGCAGTCCTGCATTCGCTGCCTATTCAGCCAGTTTGTTGGTTTTCACCTGTCTGCAAGTCTTTCAGTTCGTGTGGCATTAGACTTATATCATCCACACGCGAAATCCAGATCTTCTAGAGTCTTCTTATCTGTCATCCAGCGTAGTCCTGACTCCTCAACCCCAACAGTCTGATACATGATCCATTCCACCACAATTAAGAATATCATATATGTGTAGATATATTCCTATCCCACATCATCAGACCAAGACTTGGTAATACTGTGAAAATTACCTTGACAATACAGAAATATTATATAAATTTATGAATTTTATTTATCTTCCAGAGGTCTATTCATCATCGACAAAAAAGGTATTCTGCGTCAAATAACAATCAATGACAAACCAGTTGGAAGATCCGTCGATGAAACACTGCGATTACTCGATGCATTCCAGTTTGTTGAGAAGCATGGTGAAGTTTGTCCTGTCAATTGGAAACGTGGTGAACGCGGAATTAGAGTTGATCATTAAGTAACGAATTGAAATAACTTTTTTATTCTGTCGTTTGTGATGTCTGTTTACAATTTTGTTTCGAAGTCTTTCTTCAGTGTGTCAATTACTGAATACTCATATCAGTAATTTCTACTGACAGGTTATTGTAAACAATATAATTTTTAATCTATTCATTTTGTGTTTTCAATTTACTGTATAATTTGGGTAAATTTACACTAGTACTGATGCTGGTGTGTGTGTGTGTTTGTGAGCCGGTGGTCTGAACGTAGAGTGCTCGCCAGACACTCCACGCGTGGTCCGGTTTCTATTCCAGACTGACATATTGCTGAAATTCGCTTATATTCGGCGGTAAGACATAAAAGGAGCGAAGGTTGTGTGTGTGAAAATAAAACACAATTACTGCTGAAGATTGAATGAGTGGAACCTGTGACCATATGCAATCATACTGACGTTGTTGGTTCAGTAGTGGAATCATCGTTAGCCAAGCAGGAGCACTCGGTTTGACTGTTGGCCTCCGATGTACTGCAGAAGTCTGGGGTGGTGGTAGTAAACAGAGAAAGAAGGTAGGCATAGGTATAAGGTTGTCAAACGCAATTGGTAGAGGCAATACCACCGCTCCTGAAACTTTGTCGGCTTGAGGCCTTATATTCTACTCGCAGCGTAATGAATGAGAAAAAAGAAACAAAATCCATTGACCAGTTAGAATGTATTCTTCATCAGTCGCTGGTTGTTCATTTCTGCTTGTATTTCCTCGTATAAGTATTCATCTAAAGGCTGTATTGACATATTCAAATTCATCATATGCTGGTATCCAGGGATTTGATTGGCTACAAAGTTGGTCTGAGAAGCAGTGGAACATCTGTTTCATCCTAGTCTGAGGCATTTCAGTGGGACACTTCAACTGGGATTTGAATCCAGGATTGGTGCTGGATCGAGTATGAGTGGTCGAAAAGTCTACGGGCTCGTCTTGTAATCGGAACGTCCTAGGTCAGAACAATATTTAATTGAATTTTAGATTTTCCCGACGATTGATTGGACCGAAATCCTCGGTCTCAGGTTGACATTTCATCTTCTTGTGCAGATGCTTCGACGAAGTCTGAGCATGTAATTGAAGGTAAGCTGATGGATGGTGACTAGCAGTGGAATCTAGGATGCGCATTTAGTCTCGGTGGGAACATCATCATTCCTTGGGGAATGTAGGTACATCCGGTGACGAGTCTCAAATAGGACGAAGTGCGCATCCTGGATTCTTATGCTAGTCATCATCCACCAATTCAGAGCACCTGAAATGTCTTGGACAAGGAACCGAGTTACTTAATTAGAAGATACCGCGAGCGATTTCACGCATTATATATATGTATATATATATATTCGTATTTTATTATATTATATTATTATTTTCCTATATCCAGTTGCCATCAACCAGTTATACAAATTTAGTTGATGCTGAGATAACATTGAGCTGATTCCTCTACAACACATAATGTGGATACATTCATGGCAGAAACACAAACTAGAATAAAGGAGCTGTGTACTTCTACTGCCTTTGACTTCAGATTGTGTCAGAATTCTCCGTTAAACACCAGCTATCTGACCAACAAACTACAAACCGAATTCACCCATTCCGATTTACCTTTTCCATCAAAAATAAATCAATAAACGTCTCAGATATCAACACTTATATTCTGTATTCCCTCATCTAGTGAACACAAACTAAACTGTCACTAGTCCAAATGGTCATAGAGAGATTATTGCGCACACGATCACATGTGCACAACACTATGATCGATAAACAACATAAAAGCTACACACCACCACCATAATAATACTAATAACAATAGCAATAGCAAAAGAAATGGATTTCTGACAATATTAGCAGTAGAAAGTCAATACACTGAGGTCAAAGAAGCGAAAAACTCAATGTATAGAAGAACTGCTTAAATGCATTGGAAATAATGAGAGTCGGTGATCTGGTGACATTGTTAGAACAGTGAACTTGTAGACGAGGAAGAGTAATTAACTGATTCAGTAGTCTTGATGATTTCAGTTTTCGCTTCATTGAAAAATGTACTGAGATTCTCCAGATAGTCCTTGGAGCTGAATAGTCGAATAGACTCATCTCATAACATGAAGTTGCTAGGGTCAGTCCGCTGAGAAGTCACTGGTGAATACCATTGAAGCGTTCCAAACCGAAATGGAACACCACTTATCTAGTGCTTTTGTTTTGTCAGCAGTTCAACAACAGAATGCTTACGAGATACATGGGAGGCTAGGGTTGGACACTTTGGCGACGAACGCCTAAACTTCGTTTAGTTCACTAGACGGTAGTAAGTTAGGAAAAGATCGGATGTGGAGTTGACAGCCTCATTCCATGAAGGCAACACATCCAGTGTTGTAAAGTAATGCATTAAAACTATGCGAATCAAATAGTTGTTGCGTTTCTTGGTGAAGGTTTGCAGGAGTTTGAGTGATTTCGGGTGAGATCGAGAGGTTACGTTCGTCTTTAGTGGCTCTCTTTCAATGATATCATTTAATGGTCTAACCTGAATTCAATCAAACTCCTCTTTGAAAATTATTCCTCTGGTGAATAGTGACTTGACTACAAGGTGAAGCTCTCTGGAGATCTAGTGAAAAGCCGTGACCAGAGGGATCCAGCTAGTTGTTTGTGAGGACAGATAATTGACCGTGACCCGTGCTGACGCTTTATTGTTGCTATTCCCCGGGGGTTCTCATTGGAATGAATGGCTCCAACAGCATATCTCCATTTTGTGCTGTTTGCTTCGGTCTTGTTTAGCTGTGTCCACCAATGCTCAAAGGTGTTAATCTCCTGCATATATAGAATCTCCTTCATGTGACCTTAGAATCCATGATCAACCCACTGTTGCTCCCAATTTGGGTCAGCTTCCAATCCATCTCCACTTTCTTCGGAATAATTTTTGAGCAACAGGTACTTGGTTGGCGTGTTCCCAAATTTTAATGCTGCTACGTCTTTCTTGTTGACCATCTGATCTTCATTATGACGTTGGGAAAGGTAGGTCTTCAGCCTGTTGGATATGATTTTTGTAGGTCGAGCACCAAATCTCTGAACAGTATAAAAGAATCGATTTAGCAGTGGTGTTGAAATTCTGAATTTTGTTCCTAATTTTGAGTGCAGAAGATTTTCAGACTGATTTCGGATTGATAAAAGTCTGTCTAGGCTCTCCATTTATGGTTTTGACATCTTCATGCATGCCGTCTACATTTGAAACGATGTTGCCTGGATAGATAAGTGAAGTGAATGACCTCTTTCAAAACGCTCACGTCGATGATGATTAGCTCTTGGTGTTGTTGTTGTTGTTGCTGGTTGGTTGGTTGATCATCTTCATCACCTCTGTCTTCTTTATGTTCAACTAAAGTCCAATCCTTGCTTCTTCTTTAAAAAAACTGTTGACTCCTGCCTTTACATCCTCTTCCAATTTAGAATGACATTAGACATAAACCATCCACGAAATCCATACCTTCTAGAATCTTCTTATTGGTCCAAAATATTTCTGTTACCTCGATCCCTAAAGCCTCTTGCATGATCCAGCCCACTCTAATTCGGAATATTATCGCTGATATCGAATCACTGGAAGTTAGAATTCATTGGTCGGCCTTGGAATACTCAACAGTGTAGCCTGGATACATGAAAGTTTCAGCCTATGAGTACGTATTTCCCTAAAATCTCAATGCAGAATAAAACAGACGTCAAGTACTCCTTCGTTTTTCATTGATTCTTTTACCGATCACAGTTTGTGCTCTAAGTTGAGGCGAATTCATTTTAACTGGCAAGAAACAAGGTACGAAGTGGATGAAAGGAGATCATGGGAATCAAGACAACAGCTCATGATGAAATCCTCCAACCAATTAAAGTAAATCTCTTTTCCAAGACCAATGCTTGAATAATTCATCTGATGCTCACTAACCAGTGGCCCTATTCAGGCAGTCAACCTGGGGTTCTAGTGGGAAGCCGTGACCAGTAACGTACAGCAGATTGAAGTTGAGGCAGTAACTCATCATCGAAGAAGATATTGTGGAGTGGTCGCGCTATGTCATGCATGAATTGGCAGAGGTTAGAATTCATGGGCTGGAAAATGGCCACTGTCCCAGTGGCCTAATGGCCTTGTTACCAGAAGGTCCTGGGTTCGAACCCCACAGTGTGCGTGCGTATTGTTGAGGTGGAGTCCCAAACGAGGCTGACGAAACAGCTGTCTGTCCAGCACTCTCAGATGGTTTTCCAAAGGTTCTCCAACTGAAGTCAGCTCATGATGAAATCCTCCAACCAATCAAACTAAATCCCTATAAAAATCAATACTTGAAAGTTAAGTAATAAGTTAAATCGTGAAAGTTAGCAAGAGGCTGTTACGCAGTACACTGATCGTACGACAGAGACAATAGAAAATATGAGTGTATGAATGCGCTAACTGTTTAATAGTTACATAAGATAATTCAGGTTATAATTTCAATAGATTGTGAGACGGTTAAAGGAAGGTATTATATTTGACAATATGAACATTTAATGTAGGTAGTCACAACAATAGCGTTTCGGCTACTCATTGGCAGAACACTCGGTAAAGATACCACCCATGTTACGGTATTCCTTTCCCGGCTGACGCACGCTTTATCTTCACTTATCGGGTATTACGACCGGCACAGTGAGAGAGATCGGTGTCAGACTAGAGACCTCGCCACATGAAAGATTAATGCCACTGTTACTGAAACTTCAAAGCTGTGTTCTACTTGGAAATCAAGGGAATAAATAAAACAATATTGGGTTTAATACTTTCTTTAGAACATACACGAGTATTTTTAAGTTTCCTGCTGAAAGTCTGTTCAAATAACCATTTCTGGGTAAACTTAACACTACATTAGATTTACGATTCGGTGTGTGGGAACGAGATACCGAATATGAGAATACTGACAAGTTGGTGTAAGTTTTCGACATACACTTGCAGTTTCTGTAACTCGTATCTACTCCACTTGTCATCAAAACATCCCAACATGAGATGACCTAATTCTATAAGCCCCATGCTTAACCTTGCCTCTGCTACCCAGCCTACTGATGGATGGATGAGGTTTAGGAGTGCGCCACCTTGGATGCAAAACTGGAGCCCCCGTGTGACTAATGGGCCTTCAATTATTGAACCACCGATGT